CCAATAGAAAGAAGGCATCTGCTGACTGACTGAGGGGTTTATCAGTCTGTAAGAGTTCATTAGTTTTAATTAGTGTAATCACTAATGTTGCATTAACAGTTTAGTGAAGGAAAGTAATTACTCACACATTCACAGTATTAGATGGGAAGATTGGAATTCATTTTCCAAAAATGATTAGCATTTTGCCAATTAAAAGAATCCTTCTCCCTGCCAGCAGCCCTGTGACCTCCCTCATCCAAGGATCATTTAAATGAAACATATTTTGCATCAGAAGATGGAGCAGGAAACAATGAAAAATTAAGGCTCTATTTATTCTTGGTGTTTTCTTCCACAGAACAGCAAGGGCACAGGTCATGCTGAGTTCATAATGTCCCACTCTATTTGCAAAGTCATTTACTTTGGTCTCTTTGGAGTATACCCCTGGCCCTTTGTAACTCAGTAGCAGTTTTTAAAAATATATATATATAGTAGAAGATAAAGCCAAAAGGAAGAAACAAGAGATTACAGGTGAAATGTCCATTTCGTGGGTCCTCTGACTGCAGAGCTGGATGGCATTTTTCAGAATGCCTACTTTGGGTAGGCTTTGCTAGTGGCTTGGGGGCATAGTGCTGCCCACAAGGGCACAGCTGTGTGTCTTGAGCCTTCCTGCTGGTTTCCACTGTATACTGAGGCATCTTATCCTCCACTTAGCTTAAGAGACTTAGGCAATGTGGCCCAATTGCTCTCCATCTCCATCAGATTCCTCCTCTCTACCACTCCTTTGGAAACTTCTTGTCACTTCTTAAAAATGCTATGTGATTTCATACCCTTAGACTGCTGTCCTCCCTGTTGGCAAGTCCTTCGCCAGTTTTGTTAGAGAGGTCGCTCTTCATGCTCCACCATGTGCCAGTGTCACCTCACACTGGCTACAATAGCTGCCCCTCGATTTTGTACTGTCAAGGCCCTTGTGCTCATAGTCCTCCCTCAGTGTGGGAGTCTGGGGGTTTCATGGCCCTCTATGGACACTAAAATCCTCAGATATTCAAGTCTCACATGTAAAATGACCTAAAGTGTGTGTAGAACCCATACATGTCTTCCTAAATACTTTAAATCATCTCTAGATTATTTATGATAACCTATATGGAATGAAAGTTGTATGATTTCTTATTAGACTATATTGTTTCAGGTAGAATGATAAGAAAATAATTCCATACACGTTCAGTATAGACTCAATTTTTTAAAAATGTTTTTAATCTGTGTTTGGTTAAAATCATGGATGTGGAACCTATAGATGTGAAGGTCCTACTGTACTCATTTTGCATTGTATTATAAAATACACAATACTAGGGACCTCATGACATAGGAATGAGGATCCTCTTTATTCTCAACCCCTTGCACTGTTGAATAAATGGTTTGCGTTGTGGGCATATCTCTCTTCCTTCTCTCACTTTAAGCCCCATCAGAGCTCAGCCTAGTAGGCCCAGCCTATTTGGACCAGCAGCATCACACAGGAGGAACTAGGAAATCTGCATGCAGGTGGCCATCTCCCTTCACCTGTCTGCCTCTCCTGTGCCATTTCCAAAGGGAGCCAATCCTTCCTGAGTGCAAGCCCTGGGTCCTTTTGCTGACAGGCTTCTTGGGTGGGTTTCCCACGAAAGACACTGGCAGGAGCCTGGAGGGAGGGAGAAGGACCACCAAAGTATTTCCTCCCCACTTCCTCCCTGCTGTGATGTCCCAACTCTGACATTAGTTGCACAGATCTGAACAGAGAAGATGGGAAAGGGATTGAGGAAGGTCATGGAGAGGAAAACTAACCCAGGGGCCACTTCTGAGGTGAGATTTCAGGATGCTTTGTCATCAGGGGTCAGCTTGGAGTCAGGAGGCTCCAGGCTCCACTCTATGCAAGGTTGGGTTTTCCAGGATTTTACAGTGTTTTGAGCCAGGATACTTCCCCCGTGTAAATGTCACTTGACAGTATGGAGAGAGGCAGGCATCCTCCAAGATTAAAAGTCACCAAAATCTTTATAGCTAAATGGATGCACATTGAGGCCATACTCTTAAGTGAAATAAATAGGACACACTTGAGTAAATACCGAATAGCTCATCTGGTGTGAAAAACTAAAAGTGTAAATAAGGTTCAAATGGTATAATTGAGAGGGTAAAACAGGAAAAAAACATGGCTAAAGGGGAAGTGAGAAGGGAAGGGGAAAGGAAATAAGGCAAAAGAAAAAATGGAAACAAAGTCTTTGTAAATAGGGAAGGGTGAAGGGGGTGAAGGGAGGGCAGGGGTAAGGGGAAAAAACAAGAACCAAGATATATCATGTAAAGGTACAAGATCCCAAAGATAAATGTACCAATAAACTTAATGGGAAAAAAAAGTCACCAAAATCTTCATGCAAAACCACACCAAAATGGAAAGGCACCTTAGTGTATCACTTGAGTTAGTTTTTAATTCCATTTTACAGGCTTTATTTTATATGATCTACTAACAACCCTTCGAGGTAAATGTTTTGCCAATAAGAAAACTGCCTAAATCAAGGCTGTTAGATAAGTAAAGAGGGAAACAAGCAGGAGTCCCTTGACATTCCGCCTGTGATGTTCCCAATTCACCAACTCTGACACCATTAAATGATCTGAGCTCCATTCCCAGCCTCACCCCTTTGTGAGCTGTTTGATTTATCTATAAGACAAAAGCAATATGTTCCTCTCATGGTCATTATAAACACAATGCGAGGGCAGAGAGTGGAAGGAGTCAGCATTTGGAGTTTTCCACGACAGCTCAAGACTAGGCGCTCTGGAGCACAGCAGAAGAGGCAAATTGTAGACCGTGGGAAGGAAAATGCAGGGCTCTTGATCCTGGCTGATAGAGTGTGTGAGCCCTGGGCTTCTTCACCTCAGGAGGTGGGAGAAACACCCTTCCTTGCCCAATGAACTAATGGTACAGGTCACCAGCAGGCAAGTAGAGGCTATGCAAGATTTATTTTTTTAAAAAATAATAAATTGATCTTTACTGTAAAAAGGTATGAAATAATTATAAAAATAGACCTACTTTAAGTGGTACCCGGCACTTAGTAGATGCTACCTACAGTTAGTTCCCGCAACACAAATGGGAAGTCACAGTCATCAGTAGCAGGTTTTAGGACCCAGCGTGTTGCATCATAGCTGAAGACACACTGTCACCCTTGAGGCACTGAGGCTTGTTGGCCAGTATAGGAGAGGTGACAACAGAATGCCCAGTAGCTGTCATCTGAAGGCAGTCAGCTTTCTACTCTGTGAGCCCCTGGTGCTCACACTCCTGAGGGGAGAACACATACTGGCAGATGGGGCTAACAACTCAAGAATAGAGCTTATCTGAGGCCCACCTGCATCTAGGCTGCCTCCACTGCCAGGTGGTCTTCTCAGTGCACTGTGTGCATGTCCACATGCTTACAGACAAGTGTATCATGAAGCTGTGGTGTCTGTGTGCATGATGTATATATGTGCACTCATGTGTTTGTGTGTTTGCATGTGTGGACATGCATGACTATGTGAGTGTGCATATGTGTGAGTGTATGTGTATGTTTGTGTAAGCTCTAAAGAGGGAAGAGTTTCTAAAAAGAAGCCAGCCAGGTCTTCCCAGTTAGCCACATGAGCCTAGAGAGCGAGAAAAACTCTGGTAGCCACAGTGGTGTGAAAGATAGATCTTTACTTCATACTCCGTACTTTAGGAATGAACAGAAGCAAGGTGAGGGATTTGGAGATCTAGGGCAGAAAGCACACTCTCTACCGAAGGGTAGCCTAGGAAACTGCTGCCAGATGAGGCCCTCGTTCCTAGAGTGCACTGCAGAGCTGCCACATCCTGCAGGCTAATGAAAGGCAAGAAATTCTCAGGAGTGGGGAGGGAGGGAGCTGAAGGTAGGCAGTGACTGAGAGTGGGGGATGTAGGTGTCCCTATATCAAGAGTCAGGAGGGCCCAGGATTTAGCTCAGTGGTGCTGCTTCCTGCCTCGCAAGAACAAAGCCCAGCACCAAAAAGAAATCACCTAATAAGAATCAGGAGATACGAAAATGAATCTAGTCTAGTCCTTGCCAGCTTTTTAACCTTGAGCATATTACTACTGAAGCCTGTCTCTTCGCCTAAAAAATATGAATCTTAGTTCTCATGGCATAAGGAGGACCCTTGTCAAACTGTAATTGATTTAAAGTGTATTAATGCCTATACCGGCCTCACAAAGAGACTCAGTGTCTATCTTGCTCACAGCTGTGTCACAATACCTTCAGGCCCTGGTCACAGCTGGAACTCAGTAAAGGTTCACGACACCTCATCAGAAGGTGCTGTCCCAGATCCTTGTGCTGTTGAGGGCATTTGTGGACATACTACCATGAGGAACAGAAGATCAGGTGATCGTTATCACAGAGACTGAATTGGGGCAAAACTTGGGAAGCTGCTCTCGAGCAGAGCACTGGGAACATGACAAGAACATGTGTGGTCTCAGGAGTCCCAGATGGGGTTCGCTCCCTACCACCACGCTCCATATGCACACAATGGCATCTATCTCACTGGTCACCTGAGGACAGGGGAAAAGGGAGCCCGAAACATGATTCCTGTAACACTGGGAGGACAAACCAGTATTATGGAAATTTTGTTCTAAAAAAAAATGATAGAATTTTAAAAATCCATTGACCACCCCTATCTGTACAAAAATATTAACAATGTTAAAAAAGCAAACTCAAGGATTTTTTTGGTTCTTTATGATTGATGATCACAGCGGTGCATGTTATTTGAGGGAGAAAATTGCCTGTTTGCTTGGGTAGCTTGTTAAAGAATCAGAAAGACATCGATATTGCATTTTCTTCAACTGAGTTTTCAGAATCTCAGGCCTCCACCTCCCCAGGCACCCACAATGTTCCTCTCTTTAAAAAAAAAAAAAATCTCTTCCCTGGACAGCCTGCCTGCTTTTAACACTTGAGATATCAGAGAAGTTGCAGGCAGGTAGAGGGATAGGCTTCATTCCGCACTAACATTTTTCTCTTTTCTTCTAGTATGTGTCCAGTAGACGGGCCATCACTCAGAGCACTGCAGAGCAAGGCGGCTTCCACCCTCACCATCTCCCCCACCACCACTGCCACCACCACCACCACTGCCACCTGCGCCACCACACCCGCCCCCTCCTCCTCCACCACCAGGAGGCAGGGCTGCATGCCACGCAGGTGACGCCCTGCATGTGCCCCTTGTTCTCCTGCCAGTGGGAAGGCCACTTGGAGGTGGTAGTGCCCCACCTGCGGCAGATCCACCGGGTCGACATTCTCCAGGGAGCAGAGATCGTCTTCCTGGCCACCGACATGCACTTGCCCGCGCCAGCCGACTGGATCATCGTGCACTCCTGCCTCGGCCACCACTTTCTGCTGGTGCTTAGGAAGCAGGAGAGGCATGAAGGGCACCCCCAGTTCTTTGCCACCATGATGCTGATCGGGACCCCCACCCAGGCTGGCTGCTTCACCTATCGTCTGGAGCTCAACAGAAACCATCGTCGTCTCAAATGGGAGGCCACCCCAAGATCTGTCCTCGAGTGCGTGGACTCCGTCATCACTGACGGGGACTGCCTCGTCCTCAACACCTCACTGGCCCAGCTCTTCTCTGACAATGGCAGCCTAGCCATAGGAATTGCCATCACTGCAACAGAGGTCCACTCCACAGAAGCTGAGATATGAGGGCAGGAGCCACTGGACATTCATACAGCCACCAAGAGACTCTGACAGAGTGCCTTTGGCCTCTGGATGTCAGGACCCCAGGCTCCTTTTTATTCTTCTCCTTTCTCCCTTCATATAGATATATTTTTTGTCTCAGGTACTTTGGTGTATTTAGTATTTGTCTGCCATGGTCATTATATTATGTAAACATCCTGTGATTCAAGATCTTGCTGTGATGTCTGTCCTGTTTTGTTGGTATAGTCTGGTAGGATGTTTCTAAGATTTATGAGAATAGTTATTTCCTACACACCCTGATTCCTCTCTCCAGTCCTTCCCAATGAACAAAAGCCACCATGACCATAAGAAGACTCGGGGGTTGAAAGGTGAGTTACCAGCCAGTTTCTTTCTTCTCTTTCTCATCAATTTCAGAGAAAGAGAGAGAGAGAGAGAGAGAGAGAGAGAGAGAGAGAGAGAGAGAGAGAAATCAGCCCTGTGTGAAGGCAGTAATTTGGGAGAGAACAGTTGGCTAGCTCCACGACAGACCATGTTTCAGCCAGCCAGGCACACCTGATACCTACTGAGGGGCCTCAGGGTTAAAGCCAATCTCCAGGAACACAAGGACAGTATCTACTTCATGGACAGTGGACAACAGCCATCAGGGCTTGGCAGTCAGTGGTCAGGCGCTGAACCCTCTTTTATCAGGCTCTGGTGGCCTTATTTCCAGCCCAGTGCACCCCATTTTCTTCTGGAATCAAAGTCCTCAAGTTCCTGGTGCTTTTTGAAAATCCCTTTGTTCTCTCTGAGCAAGTGATGGAAAAGGATGGGCAAGAGGTAGGGGAACAAAAGCAGCAGGAAAAAACAAATAAATTTGACCTCACCTAGGGGTCATTCCCTCCTCAGAGTTTCATTATAGAGCTATAAAATCCATCTGTCCTCTCTGTAGAATCATGCCCTGTTATACCAGGCAAAGGATTTGCTTCATTCTTGATACTTCTTAGACCACAACTAGGCATTGAACACCAAGAACACATGGGATCACACTCAGGACCCTGGACAGGGAGGGCTGGCCCCAGCATTCACACTCAGGGACCTCCCTTTCATTTCTTTTCTTTCTAGATGCTCTGTGGCCCATTCATCACATACGCATAATACCCATGTGCGACACCGACCTCCTGGGTCAAGTAGTCCTTTTTCCACCCTATTCTCTCACCTCAGCCTCACTGGCTGGCTCACAGAAGACCTCCAAGTGAGTGCTTAGTTTCCAGCAGATTTTCCTGGCTGTCAGCAATCTTTTCTCTACTTTAAATAATTTTTTCCTGAAACACAACACTCTTCCCCCAACAACTGGCTAATGCTGCAGCCACTTCTCCTACAAACTCACACCAAAGCACCAGAAGGGAGATCCCACTGAACAGAAGTTTTGACAACACGTTCTCTTTGATTCACCCAGTAAGTACTGGAACTTTGGGACTGAGGCCTTATTCTGTCAGACCCCTGTGGGAGGAGAACAAAGGCTCTGCAGTCTCAAGACAAAGGTTGTAATCTGCTTGCTCTCAGAGTTATCAGACATGCTACGCTACTACAGGGTACCAGCCACCTACCTGCCACCTTAGCGGTGACCCAGGAGCCACCTGGGGCTGATTGGCTGGTTCTTGGAAAGGCTTTCTACTTGGCTCCTTGTTTAACCCACAGGTTTTTTCCTGCAACCCAAGACACACTCAGCTATAAGCCTGGTACCTCTAGAGCCACAGTTCCTCCACTGTCTTCTGGTACTCAATCTTTCTGAGAACATTTATATAGTATCACAGTGAACCAGATAAATAAAACCGCAAAAAGAATGTGATTAACATTTAACATTCTCAGGGCCTCAGGGCTCCTGTAAGACATTGCCTTTGCCTTCTTGTGCCAAGTGGCCAGAGCCAACCTGGGAAAAACTAGTTTGTTACTGTACACAAGATCATATTCTGAATAAGTGATCCCAGATAGGACCTTCTGTGTTCTTCCTAGACACCTGTGGAATAGGATGAGAAAGTATGTTTTCTCCTACCTGTGGTGGTGCTCCCAAGGAAATCTTTCTCTCCACCTCTACATGTGAGGGATTAAAGAAGAAAAATTAAACTAACAACAATGAATCAGGAATAGAAAATGGTAACAAAAGAGTGTGTGTGTGAGCTTTGTGATTCCTAAAGGGCTCTGTCATTTGAGCCTCAGATTAATCCTCACCAGTGTCCTCAATACACTAAAAAAAAAGGTTTGCAGACACAGTATGACCTTCGTGAGGTCACACATCAAAAGGTTGGACCACAAGTAGAACTCAATCAACCAACTGCAAACTTGGTCTTCTCAAAATAGGAAGACTGATCAAAATATTTATAAAATATTCACAGTCCACACACCTCATCAGTGAACAGTGGACCTGAGAATCAACTGGATGTTCACTTTGCAATGGTTGGGAAACAGGGAGGAAAAGACAGGTAGATTTATGTTTAGAGGCACCTGGTCAACCGGGAGCAGGCAGGGCCCAGGGAGAGATGAAGGACAAGCACATGGAGGCCTCAGTCTACATGCCTTTTCTCTCTCTTCATCCACTTCTAGGCTTCTCATGCTTAGAGTCCTCAGAACCCCTCACAATCCCTGGGATCTGATAAGCCTCATTCACTGTTCACCCAAGGTGCTGCACTTAATGATAACCTGTAAGGAATATTTCCATTTTAAAAGAAGGCTTAGAGAGACAGCAGCACTAACCAGTGAGAAATGAGTTTCCCATATTTGAACTTCAGCCTCGTAAGAACAGTTTTTACAGGGGCTGAATCAAAGGGTCCTGCCTTCCCCTTGAAAGTGAACATGAATGGTCAATAGTAAATGGAGGTCCGATTGTACAATGAAGATTGTCTTTAACAATCTGAACCCACATAAATTTGTACCTGGGACAGACCCCATCCCCTACCTGTGGTTAGTGCAGACATTTAGAAATGGATCAGGAATAATACTCATGATAATGCTCATGGCTGCCATTAATCGAGAGTTTATCATATGACCCAGTGAACTAATAGCTTTGAATATGTTATCATGTGTCATCCCCATCAGAAAGTTATACAGCTGGTACTATTTATTGTACCCATGTTATAGGTGAGAAACCATCCAAGAGGGGTTAGGTAACTTGGTTCAAGTCACTCCATTAGCAAATGAAGAACTAGCTCCAAATTCTAGGGTTTTGACCAATAGCAACCATCTCTTTCCTATGAATTTATGGACCTGAGGCTCTGAAGAACTCAGACATAAAGTCTGAATGACATAAAGCTTTTTACTGTTTTATTATTAGATGCACCCTTTCATTTCTCTTTTTTCCTTTTTATTCCAGTCCCAAACCTGGCAGTATACTAAAGCTGGTTGTATTGTGGTTGTTAAATTTTTAGGAATTTTGCAAGCTGATTAAGTACAGCCATTGTTAAAATTTTAATTATATAAATTTACAATTGAATAAATTATATTTAATGCAAAGGTAGTAAATACTCAAAACTTATCACTTCCTAATTATTTAACCACTCTTTATTTTCTGTGATACTGATGTTATTTGCATCTAACAGATCTGTAAGATGAATGCTAAATGCAATAGTGCTCTACAGCTCATTTTCCTACTCCACATTTAGTGACTTTATAGTGATGGTTTAAAATTAGTCATTGTGGAGAGAATTTGCACCATGGAAAATGCTCCTCATGTAAATGCTGCCCATTAGCAAATGCTGCAAGTCACACCCCCAACATACACACACACACACACACACACACACACACACACAGAAAGCCAGTTGGTAGATATTTGTCAGCGTAGCACTGCCTAGACACTGCAGGATGGGAAGAGGGGATTTGGGAAAGAGGAGCAAGATCTTGGGGACATACTGACAGGGTCACAGATGATGGTCAAAGAGCAAATTAGTGGAAAAACACAAACCAACCCAAAAAGGGATTCTGAGGCTTCTAACCAGCTTCAAGAGCATTCTCTGTCAAAAAGCACCCCTACCCTACCTGGACCCTTCTCTACTGTTTTTAGTGTGCACAGTTCTATTTGATGCTTTCATGGACAATAACGGCTCACAAAGCCAGCCTACGGCCAACCCCAACCCCAAAAGCAAAACAAAGCTCTGCAAAACTGGAATCTTCTGTCACTTGGTCTCCTAGGTCCCCCTCCCTACTTCTTCCTTACACGCAGGCCAAAATTTAAACTACAGAAATGTTTTATTTTGAAATTAGAGATTGTAAGCATCCAATATCTTACACACAGAAAGTGGTAGTTTTAAACACCACATAAAATGTGCTAGCACAAAAGTAAGACCTTGATATAATATGAAGCTGATGGAGAAAAAATCATGAGTCAAGGGATGTCACATGAACAGCAGAGACCAGCACCTTCCTTTCCTGTCTTTGGTTCTGAGATTGTTAATTGCGAAATGCCAGCTTGACTTGAGAAAGAACTACCTGGCCAATTAGTAAAGTTCTGAGTGTGTCTCTGGACAAACTAAGGAGGGAGAACTCACCCCAGAAGTGGCACAGGTTTGTAGGCTGGACAGAAAAAAAGGAAAAGAATAAAGATGACTGCCCTTTTTCTTTGAGAAGCTTCGGTCTTGGCCATGGAGTTGGTGCATTTATCTGCAGTTTCTTCAGGGTTCCAGTGTAGCCTCTCCGGCTCTCTGACACAGTCTTGCACCAGATAGCAATGAGCTCCAGGCCTTTGACCTTCAACTGGGTCCTCCATACCTGAATATGATGATGGCCAGTTTGTATTCTTCCAGGTCTGACCTGGCAGACAGCCTTTGAGACTCTGCTACTTCTCATCCTATAAGCCTACCTGTAAATCCTTTGTACAATCATACATATATTAAATCTATTCCTTTAGTGAACCTTAACTAATATAATTATTTCACTGCATTGCTACACAACATAGACCCTGCAAGGTGTGGCTTCCACTAAGGCAAAGTCTCAGGACACTGCAGGCTGTACTGAGAAGTGGACAGATGCTCCATGGTGAACCATGAACCAGTGACTCTAACCCAGTGGCTTCCATACAAGGGATAGTATAAGGAAGACTTGCTGAGGCTCCCTCTTGGATTCAGTTCTAGTCGAAGGGGAGGGAGACATACACGGGACATCAGAGTTAGGCTTTGTTCACAGTTCCGCTCCAAAGAGCATCACAAGTGCAGTCTCCTACTCAGATTATCAGGTTTTAAATTATCGGTTCTGAAAGTCTTCTTCAAGAGTTGTGAGTTCCCTGTTATGTGGATCTAGGAAATGGCCAGCTGGAGAAAAGCTTCCCTGAAATGAGACCCAGAACATCTATTGTAGATAAGCACCGATTTCTCCAATATCCAATCACCACACAAATTACCCACATGAGTTAGAATTTGTCTTTTCCAAACTGTATGCAAATATTTCACCTTGATCATACAGTCCTATAAACATTCCCTTTCCTTTTTCAATCTCGCTTTAGGTATGGAGACAAGAAAAAGAAAGGAAATCAAGAGACATTTCACTTACCTTTGGATCATGCATATACAATTTTCTAGGCTTTCTTATGATGTTAGAGACAAGAAGTAGCAGTAAACTTAGAATGCTACTTTAGCTCTACCCTGTGTCCCATAGAAAATGTCATTAAATCATATTTGACATTGTTTCCTTGAACCCTTTGGAGTTGTTTTTTGTTGTTGTGGTGGTGGTTTTCTCCCCCACAGGCTACTGTGCAACATGAGGGAATAGCAGTTACATATTACAGGGGAAGTGCAATTATCAGAAATTCACCAGCTGCCACTTTTGACTTAGATTCCATTATCTTCCTCCCCATTTCAATTCTGCCTCCATTTTAAAGTCATAATTGGATAAAAGGAAGAAAGGGCTACCAAAGATGAATAGAAGCCCTGGAAACTAACTTGCCCCAGTACATTTCAGCATCTGGTGCTTCCCTGAAAAGAGGGACCAAAGCTTCTCTCTCTGCATTGTAAAGACAGGCAGGCTTCACCCTCCCATACCTCCCAAAGCCCCTTATCTTAGCTGTCCCCTGCCTCTGCCCTGACAACAGTGTCCCTGAAATTTACTTCTGGGTCTATCAGATCAGTTGTCAAAGAAGCCTTCACGGTTTAATTCTTTAATTTCAGGCCACTGTTAGTTACTCACAAGATGAGAATTGAGCAAGAGTTCTAATCCTATTGCCTGTCAATTCATTTTAACCTCAATCTTCTTCCCTGCCTCTTTGTTCCCAGAACCTGTTTCCTGCTCTTACAAAGGCTTGGAGAAAGTGCCTTGAATGGATCTGAGTGATCAAAACTGACCACACAGCCAGCATGAATATTCACGAGCCGTGGCACTTTTCAACCCAACAGCTTAAGAATCACTCTGCACCCCGGTGCGGCTCAGTTATTTGCCCTTTCCCTCAAAATAGCCTCAAAGAATTGCACTAAGTTTGCTTAGTGCTATAGAGGGAGAAACTCCTCCAGCTGAAGAGGAATGATATACCCTCCCAAAGCACAGCAGGGAAAGCAAGGCCCAACCTGAGGGCAACCTGGGTTCTGGGCTTTGAGTCCCCAAACTGCAGTGTGCCGAAGAATAGAGAACTCGATCTCTGAGCCCCAGAACTAGATATTCTGAATCAGAAATGGAGCCCAGGATTCTGAGTTTTAACTCTGTCCCTTGTGGGATTCTGGTGAGGTATTTGGCTGAACAATAGGCTTTCAAATCTACAGATAGGTCTGATACAGACAGAAAACAAAGAAGCAGGTAAAGACACCCATGGAAGACAGCTAGTGCCTTTGTAAGAGCTAGGGAGGGAGGAAACAGGTGAGTGGAGAGGGCCATGGTTGCATTCCATTGGAGAAACAGGAAAATTAAGAGTCCAAAAGGACACAGAGGAATATTAGGCAGGAGTTCTATGATACCCATGTTGAAAGGAACTCTCTTCTGTCACTTGGAAGGTAATGCAGATAGAGGAGCAAGAGAAGGGATCTGTCCAGGCAGATCAAGAATGAGAGCTATGGCAGATGAACCAGCCCAATGGGGAGCAGTGTGCCCTGTATCACACAGTGACAGTTCCCGCAGCCCCAGAAGCCTGGTGCCGATGAAGTGACTGTGACTGCAAATCTCCCCCTAAGCAGAAGGGACTCATCCCGCAAATCCCTGCCTGGTTGGGATGGTAATTCATATTTAAATCTCTGCCCCCAGCCCTGACAAGGGGTTACCCAGCAAATCTCTGGGGAGGCACTCATTCATCCTGAAAATCTCCCCTGGCTATCTGAGCAGGGGACTCCATTCAGGGCCTTCCCTGGGGAATGGGAATTATCAGATCTTCCTCTCCTGCAGCTCAGAGCTAAGCTCCACATAAGCCTTGCCTATGGGGTTAGAGAAAGAAATCACTGAACCAGTTCCTTATTAACGGAGAGGTAGACAAGATAGACGCTGTGCGCACTCTGCAAGGGGGCCAGTGGGAAAAGCATCTATTAAGTATCAAAGTTGGGGGCTGTGATTACCACCCAGCTAGAAGGTAATTGAATCTTCCATTCTCTCTGCCTCTCTCTCAGTTCCAACTTCACTCCCATTAATACACAAGAGGTGAACATTTCTTGATTTTTAGATCTGACTTTACAGTGTTAACTTTTAAAAAGAGGACATGGAAGTCAAAGGAAATGGCATTCATTTGAAAAACAAAGAAGTGCAATTTCAGTACACTGAATCAGTGTGTCCTGCACAGGATCCAATAAGAAAAGAGCAGGGAAGTTTTTTTAAAAAGTTTTTAAAACTAGAGCATTTCTATAAAAGTTTGTTTTGGGGACAATTCATTGGCTAAACAGAAACCCTAAAATCCCAACCCCTTTCTGATTGGTTAGTTAATTAGGGTACTTCCAGGTGAGAGATGTTGAAGGCCAAGATACTGACTTGTGTGTTTATTCTAGTCTGTTGGAACATTCTGTAGTTTGATTGTTAGCGGGTTTGAGTATAATCCTTCTGTGGTCTCCCAACTCAGCTCTACTTTATTTCTAAAGACTTAGGTCCTTCTTTTTTGTGAACAATAGACAATTCTGGGAATTATAGATTTTTTAAATTGCACATGGTAGCACACACCTGTAATCCCAGTACTCTGCAAAGCTGAGACAGGAGGATGTCAAGTTCAAGCCCAGAAAGGGCAACTTAGCAATTTAGTGAGACCCTGTCTCAAATTTTTTTTTTTAACAAAATATCTAGGGTTGTAGCTCAGTGCAAAGGTCCTTGGTTCAAGCCTCAGTACCAGAAAATCAAAGTTCCTCAACACATCACAGTGCTTCCAAGATACTCAAGGTCTCTTGAAAGACTGTGTATAATCCC